TTTCCTGGATGCAGTTTCCTGGGGACGGTTTGCTGAATTTGGTATTTGGTGGGAAACTGGCAATGGTTGTAAAGTGGCTCGGTTTCTGGCTATATTCTCTTCAGAAGGGGCAATTTTTTTCCTTTTATTGGCTACTATTGAGCGGAGCTTGTCTGCCAAGGAAATCATTAAAAAGGGTAAAAGCAGCCATCAAAACCATTTTCGAATTGCAGCCATATTTGCATTTTTGTGTACATTGATGGCAGCATGCTTGCCAGTCTTCCATAAAGGAGAATATTCTGGGTCACCCCTTTGCTTACCATTTCCTACTGGAGAAGCCCCTTCTTTAGGCTTCACGGTTACCCTCGTGCTCCTTAATTCATTAGCCTTTTTGCTAATGGCTGTTATTTATACAAAACTTTACTGCAAGCTAGAAAAGGAAGATCTCTCCAAGAACAATCAAGCTAGCATGATTAAACATGTTGCTTGGCTCATCTTCACCAACTGCATCTTTTTTTGCCCTGTTGCATTTTTCTCTTTTGCTCCACTCATCACTGCAATTGCCATCAGCCCTGAAATTATGAAGTCTGTCACTCTGATATTTTTCCCACTGCCTGCTTGTTTGAACCCAGTTTTATATGTGTTCTTCAACCCCAAATTCAAGGAAGATTGGAAGTTACTGAGATGGCACATCACCAAGAGGAATGGGACTGGAACGGTTGCTGTCAATACGCAAACTGGCTGCAGGACTCAGGATTTCTACTACGACTGCAGCATGTACACACATTTGCAAGGTAGCGTGACCATGTGCGAATGTTGTGAGTCACTTCTTATATCCAAGCCTGCACCATGTAAACATTTAGTAAAATCTCACAGTTGTCCTGCTCTGACTGTAGTGCCTTGCCAAAGGCCTGATGGCTGTTGGTCAGATTGTGGTACACAGTCTGCCCATTCTGATTACGCTGACGAAGAGGACTCCTTTGTATCGGATAGTTCAGATCAGGTGCAGGCCTGCGGACGCGCTTGCTTTTATCAGAGCAGAGGCTTTCCGTTAGTTCGCTATGCCTACAACACCCCGAGGATTAAAGACTGAAAGGCTTTACTCCAAGCAATCCATATGCTAAAAAGGAGGAAGCACGATGCTTCATATATAGACCATGCCTGTTTCATTCTTTCATCTGAAAGCACTTTTATTAATCATTGTATGATATTAATTATAAATAAGGGATATAGGCCTAAGTACCGTGAGCTATACATTTTAAATAAGAGCTGTTGCTCCTTTTGTAAATAATTAGAAAACCAAAATTTGTAATCCATTTTTAAAAACTTTTTTTTCCAAGCAAGTATATATTATATTTGAAGCTTATTTCCATGTTACGCAGTTTTAATTTCATTTTTCTGTTGTGATATCGATCCTGATAACTTTTATAAATAAGCACAACACAACAGAATATTATAGGGTTTTTTTTTTGTTTTTTTGGAGCTGGGCAAGGGGGCTGTTGCTAACTTTTGTATAGCATTTTTGACTGAATCTCAGGACAATTTACTGCAGGGCCAAAAGATGGGAATATTTTTCCCATATGCAACTGTGAGATAAATGCAGGCAAAACATTCTTTTTAGGTCAAATTATGGATTAATGTGTCTATAATTAAAACTATTTATTTCAGCCAAATACTTATCACCCCTATAATATATTCTGAGTAATTTGGCATAGTAAGTTTTATTTTGAGAGTACTGCTTGAAAACAGTTTGAAACTGAACTTTTGCATACTTAAATGGACATCAAGCTCAGGTTTGCTGCACTAATATTTAACCTCTGATGAAAATATATGCTATTAGAACATTCCTATAGTCTTGAGATTCACTTTGGAGTTCTGCCATAATAGTTGTTTCTCGCCTCCAAAAAGGGGATCTACATGCATTGGAAAATGGATATATTGGGGGCATTCTAATGCCTGTTTAAGTAATTTTCACAAAGGCAACAGAATACTCCATCGTCCTATAATCTTAAATATGCATGTTGGGTTATATGTTATTTTGACAGCAAAAAAATTAACTCTACTTTGTGTAGGTGAAAATCTTTTTATTTTCAGTGAAACTACAGTACATAGTAGAATCTTCCCCAACCTGGTGCTCTCCTGATGCAGATTAGTAATTCTCAGATATACATCTGGAAGGTACACAGCAAAGTCTGAGGTAGAATATACTAACAGAATAGGTTTTATAAGAGTAAAAGAGGCTGAGATGTTCCTAATGTAGAGACAGAACAATGTAAAGTACCTATACTTAGGATCTTCTATTTCATTGTTATGTTACAGTAATGTGAAACCAGGTTGACTTTCCTTAAAAGGGCAAGCAAGGAGATGCACAGATCATTGCATTTTAAAATTAACCTTTTTCTCTTATTATCAATGCATAAGCTACATTTTTCAAACAAAATGTTAAATGAGAGCAATTCTACTGCCAAACCAGAAATTCTGGCACATATTTTATTAAATAACATTAGAATTGCAGTTATGAAAATTAAACTGTACATAGTGTGCATAAAAAGATTTTTTCTTGGTTTGTAAATTATTTGATAGAACACTTGATGGGAAATGTGGCTTCAGTACATTTTGTTAATTAAAGCTACCTCCTGAAATATAGAAGCTGCCAGTAGCAGAATGTTTAAATTGTGGTTTATATTTTTTTCCATTGTAAATAAACTTCAGTTGTATATTGTTACTGTAATAAAACCAGAAGCTTTGTGTACCAAAATTACTTGTACAAAATATAAGCTATTATCATTCTTGTATACTATAATTTTGTAAGCCTAAATTGTTCCTAGTAAAATCATAGAAAAATGAAAACAAGGAAGTATTCTAATATGTTCTGTTGTTATACTTACATCTCTTAGAGTTGTATATTTAACCTAATGCTACAGGCCAAGTGCCATGTAACTTTACATATAGTATTACATGCAGTATTGTAGTCATGAACATTCACCAGGTCACTGTCATAAGATCAATACTTTTATTCTTCATGCATATTCATAGATTTATTGCCCTCCTGTGTTCCCACAAACAACTCCTACCACAATTATTTGTATTCCTGCTATTAACACAATTGGATATAAATCATTAATAGTAATTTTACTTCCATGATAAGACTAAATCCAAAATAAATCCCATTAGGAATATTGATCTATAGATGTTATTTCATGGGGCAGTGCCAAAAAGTCTAAACTGTCTTACACTGTGATTTATGGCTCATTTCTTTGTACTGTTCCAGTATTTGTTGGATTTCAGGGTGAAGCAGAAATTTGTGGGGCATGATTGCTTCCTTTGCACAAGAGACTGGATGTTACAGTTATACTGGCTGAATATAACAAGGTTTTAAGAGCTAGCTTTTGGCCATGGCATGGTGAAATTTCTCTTCCCTGATCTACTGACATGCTTCTCCTTGAAATGTTTAGTGGAGTTTGCCATACTTGAAATATTTAGTGAAACCCTGAATCAAGGTAGACAATACAGATTGTTGCATAAGCAGAGATAACATGGTTGAAAGGTTTCTCTAACAAGGGAGCTGTTCTGGTCCTATTTAAGAAACATACAAAAATTGCATCCATAATGGGCTACCATAGATGTATTGCGAAAAGATTCAGACGACCACTAGAAGGGAGCAAAGAGTGACATCCAGTGACCATCCGGATTTTTGAAACCATCTATGGGAGCTTTTAATTTTCTAAGGTTGCAGGGAAGAGTGATGGTGGAGGTACAATAGCGGCTGCCACTTAATCAGAATAGAGCTGGAAGGGACCTTGGAGGTTTTCTAGTCCAACCCCCTGCTCAAGCAGGAGACCCTATATACCATTTGAGACAAGTGACTGACCCAATCTCTTCTTAAAAACCTCCAGTGATGAAGCCCCCACAACTAATGAAGGCAAGCTGTTCCACTGATTAATTGTCCTCACGGTTAGGAAGTTTCTCCTTAATTCCAGGTTGCTTTTTTCCTTGATCAATTTCCATCCATTGTTTCTTGTCCTGCCCTCTGGGGTGCTTTGGAAAATAAGTTGACTCCCTCTTTTTTTGGGGCAGCCTCTCAAATACTGGAATACTGCTCTCGTGTCCCTCCTGGTCCTTCATTTCTCTAGAGACGACTAGCCAAACCCAAACCCCTGCCATCGTTCTTCCATGTTTTAGTCTGCTCTTCTTTGCTCTTTTTCCAAAGTCTCAAACATCTTTTTTGCAACTCGCTCCGTGCTAGCAGGAAAATTACAGCAGAACGTAAAAAAATAAATAAATCTTAATTCAGAACCTGAAGGGAGTCGGGTGCGGATTTGTTCGCCTGCAAAGCTTCCTAATGCACATTTCAGCAGAGGAGGGAGGGAGGGGGGGAGAAGAGAGAAAGAAACACATGCAGACAGCGCTCGAACTCCATTGTTTCCGCATTCCAAGCCTCAGCCTCCCTGAGAACTTAAGCCCTTTGACTTAAGCTTCGACATGTCGCGCAAAACACTCCCGGCCAGCTTGGTGCCCAGTATTGAAATGAAGATTCGCCTGCAATAGTGACGGAGACGGTGCATTGTTGAAGTAACTCAAGTCAGAGACAACTGGACGGCGAGAGAAGAACCGGGAAGATCACACAGACCCGCATGCAGTTGTGGGCTCTGAGCATTTATTAAACCGCTGTAAGTCAAACCAGGGAAGGAAAAGCTAAATTTAAGGCTAGCTGTCGAGACAAAATAGAAATGGAGGAGGAGGAGCCTAAGCCACGCGCCGCCAAAGCGGAGCGGGGACCGAGACGCTCTAGGCGGGCTCCTGAGAGACGGCAGGAGGCGTCTCTGTTGCCATGACATCCACTGCGCCTAGCGATTGGCGGAGTCGGCTGTGCCGCAGGGACGACTGGGAGCGGAGTAGGCGCTGCGGGTTTAGAAGCGGCGGCCTCAGGTAGCGTGGGGGCGTTGCGTCCTTTGGACCGTTGAAAGGGGAAGGGAAGGTGCAAAGGCTGGGGTGCCAGTCCCAGAGAAGGAGGCGAGAGGGGTTGAGGCGGGAGTCATGGGTAGGGTGGGGAGAGTCGGGCATTATTCCAGGCCGGGGGTAGGCAACCTTGGCTCTTTTATGACTCGTGGACTTCAACTCCCAGAATTCCTGAGCCAGCTATGCTGGCTCAGGAATTCTGGGAGTTGAAGTCCACGAGTCATAAAAGAGCCAAGGTTGCCTACCCCTGTAATCTAGGCGGAGAGGTGGGAAAGGGGGAATCCGGGAAGACCTCTCGCTCCATTCGCTCCTTTCTTCGCAGGTACTAGTCACCATCATGCCTACTTCCGACCCCCCCAAAAGCAGGCGGGAGGCAGTCTATTCCTCCCCTGCTAGTTCTGACGACGAGGGGGCCGGCAAGTCTTCCACTTTCTCCCTGATCTCTGACAGTTTCCATCCAGAGTTATCAGATTTCCACCATGAGGGAGAGGGAGAAACAACAACAACAACTAGCAGGGGGTCGAGCATCCCTCAGAAGATGAAACACCACCATAGGTAATGTGTCACTCACAGTGCAACTTTGTACTTTTATTAGGCTTTTTTTTTTTTTTTTAAATTAAGCTAATGGGGGCCCAGGTAGTTTGAAAGGCACTGGGAAAACTATATTTAATATAAGTGGAAAGCATTTTGATTATCCAAACGCCTCTGCCCTGAGGTGCCACAAACTGAAACAAGGAGTTATATCACTACTGGACAGAGCCTAGAAAGTCTGCAAAACGGCAAAAAATTCCCCCTTTGTTCTATTGTGCAGTGTTGCTGTTTGTTCTTGCCCCAATAAAGTGTCATCAAAGTTAACCCCAAAGCACTGGAAGTGGCATCTGTTATACAGGAAAGGGCATCATAGTATTTTTTTAAATACCTTAGGTTGGTTAATGGCGCATTTGCCCCAAAGACTAATCTTCACAATTTTACACAAGAGATTCTATACTAATTTATAGGAGAAAATGGCTTCTGCTTTATATACTGCATAGAGCCATATTAGACTGAAGCAGTTTATACATCCTACAAATATATAAAACTTAGAAATCCAATTTCTTCCCTAGAAATTTATTGCTATTTTGTGTTTTACCAGGGATTTATTGGATATTCGTTTCCCGTAGACAAGGTGGATGTGTGTCAACTTAGAAAGTTAAAATTGTCCTATCAATAAATAACTGAAAACAAGCTTAGTGATTACTAAAATTTTAAGAAATAAGAATAAAGTGGATATTCAAGTACTTCACATCCAAGAAGGGGCACAAGCATCAGATTTTTGTGTCTGGAGGGTTGAATATCCTCCAAATTAGATGGGGACACATAAATTGGGATTGACCAAAATCAGATAACATTGCATGAATGGCTTATATAACATTTATATAACGAGTTTTATAAAGATAATTTTGCCCATTTTGGTTTTTTCAAATATCCATGTTTTGGCTCTTAGTAAATCAGATGAGCACCATCATATAAAGGCATTGATTTGATTAAACATGAAGTGGTATAAAGGCAAGGAAAACAAAGCTGCTAAAATAATCAGAAGTAAACTGCAGAAATGGTAGTCCTGATTTAGGGATCATTTTCCCTAAACAATTGTCTTGAGACTGCACCTCAGAGAATTTCTACATAGTTGGACCATGGATCTCTGAAAGGGACCCGGTTTGGAAGACTGAAGAAATGATGTCTACAAATATTAGTATTTGGCAAGACTTATCTTTACCAAGACAGGAAGGAGCTTGATATATATTCCTAGTTTTTGTAGCAAGTGTATGTGTATTAAAAAATAATAGAAAAAGGAATGTTCTTGGATTACAATATATTATAAATATTTATCATTTTGTATTTATGTTTAATGTGTTTAAGGAATTAAAGTTACTCATTAACATTCATCTAAGATCATTTCCCAGCCAAAAAAATCTGGACAGAAACTTTACTCACCTTCCCCCTCCACCTTCAAATTGATAACCATTATACATTATTTTAATATTTTAGGGAAACAAATATTGGTATTCTATCACAAGGCCTCATCATTTGAGTTAATTTCAAAAGCCATAGTATAATTAACAATGCATACTTTGTTGCACCTCTAAAACTCAAAAGCATGCATCTGAATACTGTGGCTGCTTCAAAAAATCCAGGGTACTATGGTAACAATTGCATACTCATAGGCTAGCAAACAATGTGATACAATAGGATTAGAGCTTATTTTTCTGTATCATAAAGACCTTAGTCATAGATGAAATGTTCTGATTATCATTTTTATGATAATATACATTTTTAACTAAAATTAAATTTAGAGACAATAATTTTCACATATATTGAAAATACATATTTAGATCAAATCATGAATTTAATCATATCATTTCCCCCATCCATCCAATATAATTATGAAAAATCTGCAATTCTGAAATACACGGGCATGGGCTTTTGATATTTTTTGGCATATATCTGAGTACAATATTTTATATATGCATTGATCACACTCTGAATGAGTGTTTACAGTACACTAATGCAATACAGAAAAGCCATATCTTCTGTGACCAGTATACATTGAAAAAAAGTTTATTGGAGGAAAACAGTTTCATTTTAATTGAATTTATTAGTTATTGCTATATATTTCTGTATACAGGAGGAGAGAGACATTGTGCTATATGAATGGAACTCTGTATAACATTGGCTGAAATCTACTAAGGTTATACTGACTTCCATTATAATACAATTTTTTCTCTCTTTCCTGTGACCACTTTCTGTTTTCCTACAGAAGCAGATTTGTAGAATTTCATGGAGAATGTTAAAGGCAGAGAAGCCTATACAGTAGCAAACAGAAATCTTTGGGTAAAGTCCCATAATTATAGTAATATTGTAAAGAACTATTCATAATATTACTTGTTTCTTGTTTTATTTGAAAACAGATTTATTTTAAAATAGTATTCACAAACACTATTGCATCTGATTTCTTATTTGTCAATTCACAGTCTGGAACAAATTAAAGATACAAATAAACATTCACCTGCTCATACTAGTCTTTCACCATGGGAAGAATGGTTCCTTTGCAAAGAGAGAGAACTACGTGCTCGTTTTCAAGCAAAAGCTTTGGAGGTGAATACATAGCTTATTATCTTTATAGTTAGCAATAGACTGTGAGACATTAAAATCCATACTTTCCCAATTATTTTTTAAATGCAGATTGTTCTTTATATTTTGATCATATTTACCCTGCTTTCTGTTTGCTGATTGTCCTGATTCATTACTAATTGTGCATATTTTTATTGTGTTGTACTTATGCTTGATAGAAGCTGTTATTTGCATTTTACTTAACCAACTCCCTCCTAAACATTTAAATTTAAAATATTTTAATGCTTTGAAATTTTTTTTTACCCATGTCTGTATTGAAGCTTTAACACCTGAAAGAATGTGTGCTGTTCATGGGTAAGTGAAGTTATATGATCCGGGATAAGAGATGGTTGACTATATTATGGTCGACATATGTTGTGATAAACTGTAGTATGTTACATGACTGTTAGAGGAATATGTTGAGCCTTTGTCCATTTCAAAATTAAATTTCTAAAAAGTTTTGTATTAGTAGCCTTTTTGCTCATGAATTTATTTCCTAGTAATTATTCAGAATAGTCCCACTTTATTTTTTGAGATGATGCAGTCTTTATATTAGTCTCAATATTGTTTGCACTACTGCATTTTAGGAAAAATTCTACCATCCCAATGCTATCTATGCTGATAGGCATTTTTGACTGTAATTCAATAGTAATTTTTGAATGACTGGTGAAAGAATTTATTGTCATAACTATTATTTTATCTACTTAATGTAAATCTTCTTTCAGTTTGCCAGTTTTGAATTCTAGTAAATGAAAAAAAAAACAGGACTTTTGGCAAAGAACAAAAGACGTTCTAAATTTTTAATTAATTTTAAAACATTCTGAGCAATCTTTAGGAAGTCAGTTTGGCTTAGGCTCAAGAAATAATTTTCCCTAAGTCCAAAACATTGTTAAGTGAAAAAATGAGGATACCAAGTGGTTCATGTGTGTTCTTCAATTTCGTTAAACATGATATATTAATTAAGCAACAGTTGCTGGGATGAAACATTGCAGTAAATCATGTTTTAATAGTACAATCTTCCAAAGTTTCATTTTGGTATCATTATGAAAAACATAGAAGCCTCTTCCAGTACCTGGTTAAAATAACCAGTTTCTTCACTGAGAATGACTTTAGCATCCCTTGCCTGCAAGCCAGGCCCTCTGCATATCTCAAAGGGAGTGTTTTTGTAAGTTCCCTATTGAACAGTGCCTCTGTCCTGATGGTGGTGGTGGTGGTGCTGATCAAGTGGAAGATATCCATTATATCCTCCACTGCTTCATTTACAATGGGATCAGGCCCAAATTATTAATGACAGATGAACTCAAGGCCTCAAGCCTTGCAAAATTAAACTATATTTCACATGTGTTTCTAACAGTCAGCAAACAAGTTGTTGTCATTTACACTTAGAAATACTTAAAATCTTAGTTGTAGCTTTGACTTTATTGTAACATTTTTACTTCTAATACTATTACTCTGTTTTATATTTTCATTATGATTTAATGTATTTTATGGCATCTCTGTGTTATGAACTATGGTTACAACAATAAACATATTTACATTAAATAAAACATGTTTACAAATCTTAAGAGCTGGGTTTACACAATATGCTAAGCAAAAAACCAATTACATTATGGCTTAGAGCATTATGTAGCCCAATCCATATCAGTGAGATCTTCATTAAATTATAACGTTTGAATGTAGCCAATAATTATACAAAGATGTTGATATCACTAAATAGATCCTTCCATTTCATTAGTTTATATATGCATGGATGCCTCATTCACATATCCTGAGCAGAAACATGAGAAAGGCAGAAAGATTAGGTTAGTAGAACAGACCTGCACAATCTTGCTTTCTTCCACACAGGGAACTTGAATAAGAGATTAGTAACAATTTATTAATCTTATTTATGTGCCACTCATATTGAATCAACTCCTGGTGGTGAACAAGCATAACACCTTATATTAAAAAAAATGCAAAAACTGATGCCAGTTAAAAACTTTTCAGTCAAGCAAACCAAACACAAACCAAAGTTTATTAATATTTTGGCCCTTAATCCATGTTTATCGTTATGATTTGTTCATTAGCTTTTTTTGAGTGAAGGAGCAATCGAGTTTGATTTAAGTATTCATTGTCTGCACAAACTGAGGTTTCTAATCTAATTCTCGGAGGAGAATTAATCTTTCTCAACAAGGGACATTGATGCCAATATAAATCATTGTCCCCAGTCAGTCAGAACTAAAATTAATATTTTTAACATGTTCAATAAATGCACGAACACATTGTATTTTGCAGCTTAAGTCAGTGAGATGGCTGAGAAGAAAAGTCAGGGCAGTTCCGCAGTTTGCCAAGGTCATAGTCTGCCTCTGACAAGAAAATAAGGTTAACCCTTTTCTGCTGAGTACATTTTGGGGTGACTAGGAGAACGGCACCTCATGGTTCTGAAGAGAACAAGCATTTGGACATATGCCTCAAAACATGAATTTCAGCCTGTGGATTTTATCTAGAAATGACTTCAGTGTTTATTGTTTTCATCAAGACAAGCTTAGATTACAGGTTTTGGAAGGACAAACCTCTAAGATATTCATTAACTATTCATCCATGTAGCCCCTTACACAACTGCATACTCATTCATCAGAGAAAACTTTATGATAAGTTAAATACATCGTAACAAAACATTATGTAGCAAAAAGATTTCTGGTAACTTTTGTTACTTTAAAATAAAATGAATTTGTCATGTACTTTGCAATGAGAACTGTATTTGGATCCAAAGTTGCTGTGGTTTATGCAAAGCAATCAAGAAGCAAAGAGTAATTTCCATCTCTTTCAATAGGAAATGAATCAGCAAATGGAAGAAACAAAGGAAAAACAAGAAAGAGAAAGAAAAAAATTAATTGCTGAAGAGAAACACAAAGAGTGGGTCCAGAAAAAAAATGAAGAGGTGAAAAGGGTGAAGAACTGCTCTTCTTTTTCAGTTATATATTATATTTGTGACATGGCATATAATATCTATTTTAATGTGGACCAAAATAATATTTTAGTTCCTAAGCTTTTAAAGTCCACTGTAGATTTTTAGTTACCGTAGATTTTATTTTGGTTATTCAGCAGGAATTAAATGTATTTCCTTCCTCATAGGATGAAAACATGACCTTCCTTATTTTGTTAATAACAGTGATTAAGATCAATTAACTAATAACAGACAAACATGTGTATTCTCAGAATTAGGTTCCATTTTTTTATACTGAGGTTTTTTTTCTGGGTAGCAGTTGCTCAGTATCGTTGCTGCTAATGAAGAAAATTCCTCATGGTTAAATAGAAATTCCTGTGGGTTTTTTAAAAACTCTTTTCTTAAAAATACCTGCTTTCTGCTAATTTAATGTTAAAGATTGTTTAAATTCTGTTCTCTATTGATTTGAGTTTTAGGCAGGAAAATACATGAGACTTAAACACAATTTATATAATTCATAACCAAATGATAATCATTTGGCTTATACTTATATTATTTACAATGATTTTTATACATTTTGCAAGTAGTTCAGAATACTCTTTGCTATATAGGAATGTTTCCTAGGCCTTGGCAATTTTCAAACTAGTGGAATTTCAGTTTATAGAATTTCCCAGCTATTGCTAAGAATTTTGGGATATGTGGAAGTTGCAAATTTGGGAAATATGCACTAGATAGATCTTAACCTTTGAGTACTGCCCATACAAATTGCCCACGCAGTTTGGAAGCCCCTAAAGACATACACTGAGATTAAGACCAATATATATTATACCAGAAAGATTCCAAAACCATCAATTACAGATAGGTAAAATGTCAGTTCTTTTCCAGGTCATGCTATCCCTGGGGCAGCTTAGCAGTTTTTGAAAGTAAATCATCCAAAATAGATGCAGTTTGAAGTGCTCCAGACATGACATTCCAGATAAGACAGACCTGTTTTATCTGGAATAGTTACCTTCCAGAAGATGCCAAATTATCCCAGAATGGCAATGGTCCAGAGGAAATTTAACAACTAGGCTAAAATTCTAACTGCAAATTTAACAAGAAAAAAACACACATAAGAACTGTTACGTAACTAGTAAATTGTTTTGTAAGGTAAGTATAGAGTGCTTTAAATTCTTTATTTTTGGGAAATTAATAAAATAATTACCGTAAGCTATGTTCACTATTATATTGTAATTTTTTGTTTGCCACCTGTACCTTGCTATATTTTCTTCCTGTGGAGGCCCTGTAGACAAATGGAAAAATCAGTTTTGTTAACTGAGGTTTCAGACTGCTTTTGCTAAATACAAAGCACAAACTATACTAGTTTTGGCATGTTCAGGTATGCAGAGTTGATGTTATGATATGTGGTGCTGCTGCTGCTCAGTATTTTGCTTTAGAGATAGTTAAACTCTAATGGTACATAGATTGTTTTGGGCTGATGTCAGCAGACCAGGTTAATAATCTAAAAAGTATACAGGTAGTCCTCGAGTTACAAATTTAATGGAGCCTGCCCATTCCATTCATAACTCGAAAATTCGTAGAAATGAAACTTGTACTTGAACAAGATCGCTCCCTGCTTTCGCCCACACATTCGCTAATCAAATGCGTGGGCGAATGTGCAGTTCGTTACATGCACATGAGATTTCTCAGGGTGGAGAAGGCCATGGGGAGGTCCAGTGATGGAACAGGCCTCCAAGGTTTCCTTGGCCCATTTGTATTTTTGGGACTTGCTCGCATACACTAGGGGGCGCTTATCACATAACTTTGAACATTCACTAAGGGAACGTTCGTAACTTGGGGGATTACCTGTATATAAGTTTTAATAAGTAAGATTGGAATTTCCCTCTATATTGTCCAGTGGTTAAGGATCAGATTAGAAATCAAGAGATTATGAGTTATAGCCCTACCTTAGGCATGAGATACTAACTGGATGACTTTGGGCCAGTCATTCACTCTCAACCCAACCCACCTCATAGGATTGTAGTTGTGAGGAAAATTATTTATAAAAATAATAAAGGCGGGATACAGAATTCTTTCTTTCTCTCTCTCTCTTTCTTTCTTTTGGAAATTTATATGGCCGCCTACTCACAGTGACTCTAGGCAGTTTACAAGCAGTGAAAACACAGTACAGAAAATAATAAAAAAAGAACTCCCTCCCCCAGCGACAACAATAAATGGTAAAAATCAATCATTCTTAATGTCAGCCATTCTGAAACAAGCTTGAGCAGTGGCATGAATAGTTAGAGACTCACCCACTCTTTTCTGTTTTAGCCTTACTTTGGTCTTCCCTTGGCTAATTTGGGCATGACATAAACCAAACAATTACAATTGTGTTGTACATGAAACACAGCTATAATATTAATATTTATGGACAGACTTCTTTCATAAATGCATTTATTAAAAATACATGAAAAAAATCCTAGTATAAAATGACAAAACATATAAATCCACTGAGGCTGAAGATGGTCAACGGGCCTTTAAAATGGAGATGGTCACATGCATTTTCCTGTAATTGTTTATTGATGACCCTTTATGAGTAATCTTAGCCAGGTGTTACCTAATCAGCCTACAAATATGAAAATAGTCTTTTTTTTGTATGCTCAATTGAGGATGCTTATAAGTTGTACATTGCCAGTGTACCTCTTCTGCATACAGCAACACATATATAACCAAAGTTTCTTGGTTAAAATGGTAAATAACTGTCATAAAACCAGTAACTAGCAAAATGAAAAAATGCTACATTAAGTCCCATAGTCTTCCAGAAGAAAGTGGAAATGAAACATTTCTTCTTTCATTGAATCATGTCCAGGTTCAGTTTGCAAAAGAAGAGTATAGTATCCTTATAAATAGCCATGGTATATAAGCCAGGTAGTAAATCTGCATTGGGACCACATACCTTTCAGGTGTAGGTATTCATGAATGCTCAGGATATCAAGAATTTAGATTTTCTGACTGGTAAATAGTTCTACCTATATTTTCTAAAATAATACTTCTGCAGGAAAGGAAAGAAAGACAGCGTAAACTCAAAAAAGAAACGAGAGAAAAGGAAATAAAAGAGTTTGAGGAAATACAGTTAAAGGAAAAAGCAAAAGAAATGTATAAGGAATGGCTGAAGAAAAAGAACACTGAAGATCTTCAAAAAAAGAAAGAAGAGAAAGTAAGTTTAACTTAGCTTTTTATTTGGAGAAAACTTATAACTGAACTTTCCTTTTTGGTGTAAATTACTAACATTAAAAAAGAATGAGTTTCTTCCTGTTTATTCTGGTTAAAAATAATTGGATCTTGTTTGTTAGGTTTAAGACTGAAGCACAAAAAAATCCACAGTTGCGAGAAATGATGAAATATGTTTTCAGTGATGAAATAACACTTGTAGAATATTTTTCTCACAACAACTCATTTTGCATATTTGACAGTATCTTTCAGCACAGGATTTTCTTTATACACATGTTAATCTAGGCTTTCTAATCTGCCTTTTTTGAGATATTTTTTTATATTTTAGTGCTATATTCATTGTTGAATTTTAAATTGTTGTTGTTGTATATATTGTCCTGAAATATCTGTTACAATGTGGCTAATGCAGTAACTACTGTGAATAAAATGATTAACCAGTTAAGTAAAAGAGTAGCTGAAATAATTTTACATACATATACACACATTCATTATGCTCTTTCCTCTTAGAGAAACTGGTGAAAAGGAAGACCAAAAAGTTTATAGTTTGGTGGAATTGGTAAATTTCTCAGAAAGAACAAGTAGTTTAAAGAACATAAAGCAGTATGTGGTCATGGAAGAAACAAGAATGGTTTGCAAAGTTTCATGTAGTCATCAACTCCATTCCTGAAAATCAGACTACCTTCTTTTAGCTCTAGTGTGTCTTTCCCTATTCTGTTTTTTTTACAAATAAAATATCATATTTTTAAAACTTCCATTCATTAATTTATGCTTTTTAACCTTGCATTCTTCTTACATTCCAAACTGCAGTATTTCTTTATAAAACCTTGTTAATTTATTTATAAAATGTACGTAGTTATCCAACTTAAACAATGCAGGTCTGGTAGCTTATAATAGAGAACAATTCAACATAAAAACAAAAGCCAATTCATTTTTAATAAGGAAAAAATAGACTGTGTTGTTAGGTTAAATTGGCCCCAGTAGGCTTTGGCAGATTTGGCTGTTATAGGCCACGTGTATCAAACCCGATCACGTCACGTGACGTATCGTGATGTTTTTTGCCTTTGGGGAGCCAGGGTGGGTGTGGCCTGTGTGTGATGCATCCAGCCCATGGGCCGCCAGTTTGACACCCCTGTTATAGGCCAATCATATCCTAACATTGCTCACATTTTATGAAAGCCAGCATCTCTAATCTAAAGATTACCTTACAAGTCAGTGTACTGCTACCCTGGTCCCACCAAAAGAAGATAGATGCTGTGTGTTGATATAGTCAGAATAATGATTAAATTGTAAATGTATTGCTGATTTTAAATCTGCTTTGGAAAATTTAAACCCACTATAGATTACAAGCACCTTTAAAACTTTTTATTTCGGTGTGAGAATTAAGCATGTGCTTAAATAATCCAATTCAAATCAGCATGACTTAAAAGTGTAACTATAACCCGATTGTTTCTAGAGCAGTCAGTTCCCTTGATGAAATATATTTTTGCAGGTTGCAAGGCACTTTGTATTTAGATATGGTTATATGCCTGTTACTTTTGCAGGAAAAGGAAAAGCTACGGGAAGCTGAATTACAGGAGAAAAAAGAAAAATCAGAGAGGATGTTCAAAGAATGGCTGCAGAATTCTAAAAACAAGCCCCGCCCAGCTTCTGCTGGCTATGCCTATGTCAATGGGAAACTTGCAAGTTTGTATCAGTAGTCAGTCAACTACTATAACCCAATATATCCTCAACTTGTGTAGAAATGTTGATTTTTCAAAAGTTTTCTTTAAAATGTTAAATTAGACAGGTGGTAAATATTTTGGATGTGAAGGGACATTAAGTGCTAAGGCAGGCCTTCAGAGCATACTTAACAGCATACCAGTGACCTCATAGAGATCTGCATATGCCTACAAATATAACCTACTTCATTATATGTAGAAAATAGGTTAAAATATGTCACATTGTATTGCTGTTACCAGTTACAACATAATTTTTTCTAAAAATCCTCCTGGCTTAAGAAGAAAGAGAAAGACATAGGGGTTTTTTTTCTTTCAAGTGAAGATAAATACAAGATAATATCACACAGCCTAATATCACACAGTAATTAAATGATTACTGGATTGCCTGGGACCAACCAGGCTAGGGGTGGAGATACACTACAGAATCCCAGAGAAGGGACAGATGCAGCTGAAGAAGTTATGATTAGGGGCATGATGGTCTTTTGTTTGCCAAACAATATAAAAATGTCTGCATACCATAAGTGCTGCTGTCATAAAAGCAAATTCTGATTAATATTTGAAAGAACTTATGCAAATTGTAGACCAGAGCTGAAAGGAGTATCAATGGCTTTAGGTAGATGAGGCAGAAAAGTCCAATTTTATGCCAGATAAATCAGTCAAGAAAAGCTCTTTAAATCTTCATTTTATCATGACTAAGTCAGGCTATCAAATACTTTATAATTAATCCACTATTTTCTTCAGTTTGAAAGTGAAGTTTAACCTGCATACTAGTTCCTAACTATTGCTTTCTAAACTTTTTAGCATACCCAGATGGAAATGCCTATCCAGCTCCAGCCTTTTACAACCCCATACCTTGGAAACCAATCCCCGCGCCTCCTCCTAAGGAAGAGAAGTATGTTTCAGTGAAGAAAAATAAGAGGCCTCTATCCAGCCACACCCATAGATCTTCATCAATGCTTTTTCAAAAATCCAGGAGTAATATTTATCTTGGATCATTACAGAGACTTCAGAAATAGCATAGGCATTTTGTAAATAATATTAGTGACGTTCAAAGTGTTATATTAGGTGTGACATGTAAACATCTATGATTTCTTGGCTTTTGATACTTTTTCATTTTTTATTGTTAACTGAATTGGGTTTTATCTAATTATGCTTGTTTAACTAACTTGCAGTCTGTGGAGTTGAACATTTTAATTCCCTATTTATTGATTTGTGAAATGCATCCCTTTAATATGACCTAATCAATATGTGCTATATTTGTAATATATTTTCTCTTCATCTTAGTTTTTCTGATAATACTATTCGTTTGTGGTAGCTCAATGCATAAATAATATTTATTTTAAATCTTAAGCTAGCAGAAGGAATAGAATTTTTATACAGTATATAGTGCACCTACCAGTAAATACAGTTTGTAATTTCTAAATTGTTTCATTTTATGTTTTAAAAGCAATTGTTTAAGGAATAAAACAAATTGTTACAAGACTAATGATTCTCGTTAATGGCTTATAAAATATAGTACACATTAAAGCATAAAGTTGTTGATTATACACAAGAAGTAACTATATCTTCTACATGTAAGTTTTAGGATTTTTAAAGAGGAGCAAGCTTATAATAAAATAATGCACAACTAAAGTGCATTCTGTTATAATATACTTATCAATACCAAAGAGAGAATAAGAGGAGAAACTATGGTTTAGTCATAATTTAAAAACAAGGGCTGTTTATCCAGATAGACTTTCCAACCATTCTATAGAAAAGAAGTCTCTGCAACATTGCCTGAAAAATAAAATGAAAATTGTTTTATAGAACATTTAAAACGTTTTTAAAACCTATAAACATGGAAATAGATACAAACATTGAGCGGCAAGAAATACAATTTGGTGATGCTGACATTATTAGAAAAATGATTAGAATTAAATCCATTTGCCATTAGCTGGAAATCCTCTTTCAGATATTCTGAATATTATATGTTCAAGAAACCTTGGGGAGCCAAGCCATTTTTATAATTATTTTTGAAGAATAATTTTAGCAATCTTTTTTTTTCTTAATGAACTAAAAGAGCTTTATTTCTTAATATTTTGAATAACCAGGAAAACGCATAATTTTTGAAACTACTAGACTATAATTCTTTTCCTACACACTTTTTGTCGTTATAGAAGAGATTGCATCAGTCTTCTAAAGGCTCGTACAAAATGAATCCTAGATGAATTTGGTTTGAATCTCATTAGCATCTCCAGTTTTTTAATAGCTATTCGACAGTTTATTCACAAAATATCATGCTCTGTAGTTCCAAATGCTATGGGTAATTTTAAACTGCCTTGCAGAACATAGTGCACAGCTGTCTACAAATTGGCCTTTTGTAAAAAGAGATGACAGCAGTAATTCTAGGGAAGTTGGGCAGTTGGGTCAAACTTGATTTCCCATAATGCTTCTAATATCAAAGAATTTCAGGCTATTGTGGAGACCGCTCAGCTATCAGATGCTGCTTTTAATGCCACAGGACTCAATATGGGTGATGGCAAATGTTGTCCCCCAAGCAATTGCTCAAGAGTACCTCATATTGGTGTCAGTCCTCTATATTTTTTATTGCTTTTCCTTGATGTTTACTGGATGATTTCAAACAGGTCAAGATTTATAACCTTTTAAAAAAATAAATAGCTGTACATATAATGACTATTTTCAGGGCCTGGCTTAGAAAAAAAAAAACTAAGCTGAAGTTGCCATATATATTTCTATCCTCTAACTATTAAATTCTTTGCATTGGAATGCTGTAGTTCATTCTTCAACTTCAATCCCATGAATTCTGAGAAAGATTATGCTGACAATATAGCATACCATACTCAGCTCAATGGTGCTCTTGACATTCTACTATAGAAGCATGATGGTGCTATGGAAAAAAAAGTGGGCATAAAGAGCTTGTGCATCAGGCTTCCAAACACAGGCCAGAAATATAAGCACTTCCAGCAAATCTTCAAGGACCGACCCAATGTATGATACAAGGCTTGCTTAGATAGAGTTATCGGTAATTATTTTAAAATAATGTTAAGTAATACTTTTGTTATATATGTTAAGTACAGATTGCTATACTTATTCCCTTATCTTACTCACTGAATCTGGTCTTTGTAATTGCAGAGTCTCAATCTCAACCCAAGCCCGTCTGTTTGGGAATGATGAAGACAAGAACCACGAATCTAAGGCTGTTAGTCATTAATTCCTCTGATTCCCTCTCCTAGCACGCATGAAATGCGTGAAATAAACAGAAGGCATAGTACAGCATTACTGTGAGAGGTAGTATTGATGGGAATGTAGGTGGAGGGTGCAGAGTTAGAGAAAATATTGCTTAAATGTTTTTTTCAAAGGAGTACAACTGAAGAAGGAAATATTTCGTTCATCCAAGTTATTTCTTCCCCATGTCTGAAGCTATGAAACAGTCTCTCTCCTTTGTTTAATATTATTGAATCTAGGAGGAAATAAAATAACCCTAAACTCTTGTGATCTAACCAATCAGTATATGTGTGAAATATGCATGTATCTGCATTGGGTGCTAATGGTGGCTAAAGGAATGCATTTTTCTGTTTGCATAACATGGTGAGCAATTTTCTCTAAAGCTTCCATTCAAATCACTGAAGGGCTTAGGAGAATATTGTGAAATGCCACAATTAATCAGAATGAAACTGTAAAAACAAAACAAAACACCTATGTATAGGTTTAGGAGTTACCAGTTTGTTATTGAAGTGATTTTTAATTCTGTTGCCAGAGGCTTTAGTTAAGAAAATGCATCATACAATTCTAGCCTAAATTTAATTCTATTAATGTCTTTTCACACTTTTAGTGATAATTTATTTTAGACCAAAACATTTAAAACAAGAGATATCAAGAGGAACATAATCTTAGATAAGAGATCAGTGATTAAAATAGTAGCTGGGTCAGTCAGTTATATTAAACACTATTAAGACATAAAGTAAAATATTATATTTGGCTTCTAAAAACCAATGGAATTTGATTAGATAGTGTCATGAAGAATGAATACTGCAAATGAAGTATTTCTGAGAGCCCAAAGAAAGTTTAACTTTCCTATACTGTTTCTATTGAGCATATAAATGCACATAATCCTTCCATTATAGTCCTGTTCCATTTTCATTATGAAAAATGCTGAAGGTGAGAATAGTCTGAATAATTCCCCATGAATATCGTTCACATTAAATCAGATGCTGCAGATGCAAAAGCCAAATTAGGATGGCTTGCATGTGAGTTAAAAAATCTTTATAATGTAGGATTGTGGCTCAAATGAAAACTAATAGTAAATAAGTCTCTTTGCTACAAATATTTACATTCAACACATGGGTGCCTGCAACAGCTGATGGTTTTAAAATGCATTTGGCAGCAGGGTTATTACACACCAAATATTGATTAATGTTCAAACAAGGCTTATAACATCAGGTAATTTTTTCTAGGTGGAGGAAAAACCAGATTTATAGTACCATTTTTATGGCTATGGCTGTTTTATTTTATTTGGCACAAACGTGGACTACGTTGGGTTAAGAATAGTGAATGGCCCAAAGTCACATAGCCTGCATGGTATAGGATAGGTGTCCCCAGACCTATTCCAATACATTTAACTCCACAGTGAAAAAGAAAATGTAGAAGAAAATAAGGTATTTTGAGATAGTGCAGAGAATTTTCAAATGGTAAAATGAATTGTGTAGGAAAGGAATTTTAGACAGAAAAGCAGTGCTTTTTTTCTAAAAAAAAAAAAAAAGTGCTGGAACTCACAAACGTCATACAACCCGCCTTGCCTACCCTACAAGGTTCCATCCAAAAAAGGTGCCGGAACTCTGTTCTGGGCGTTCTATGAGAAAAAAAGCCCTGCAGAAAAGGTTATACTTTGCTTCTTCAGGATACTCTTTCACATCACCTACCCAGAGGTTGTAGTATACAGTACAAGATTCTATGATATGGCTATACATATTTAAAATAAAAATGCATTATTTCAAATTCCCAAATATCTAACAAAAAATAAATTAGAAATCATCGAACCTTGAACACTGTATTCCTCAGGCTATCTTGTGGGCAACCTAATATATGGTCTAGATCAGGGCTTTTCAACCTTTTCATCCATTGTACCACTTTTAGGATAAGGCAATCTCCGACTACCACCAGTCGCCTAGCAAGGTGTCAAAAACTTGATGACCAAAAAAAAAAAAAGGAAAAAAATGATAAAATACAGGTAGTCCTCGACTTACAACAATTCACTTAGTGACTGTTCAAAGTTACAGCAGCACTGAAAAAAGTGACTTATGCCCATTTTTCACACTTATGACTTTTGCAGCATCCCCAGGGTCATGTGATTTACATTCGGATGCTTGGCAACTGATTCATACTTATGATAGTCACAGTGTCCCAGGGTCATGTGATCACCTTTTGCAACTTTTTGACAAGCAAAGTCAATGGCCGGGGGTGTGGGGCCAGCTCGTCACTCAGGTTGCGGGGCGCCTGTGGGGGTGCAGACAGGGCTGTGGGGAGATGCATGAGTCTCTGGTAGAGGGGGGTGGGACTGGGGTGGGCGCCTTCCTTCCCTCCCTCCCATTGTCCCTTCCTTCCTTTCCTCCCTCTCATAGTCCCTTCCTTCCCTCCCTTCAATTGTTCCTCCTTCCCTTTCTTCCTTCCCTCCCTCCCCTTCATTGTCCCTTCCTTCCTTCCTTCCTTCCTCCCTTCCCTCTTTGTCCCTTCCTTCCCTCCCTCCCTTCCTCTGTGCCCAGGAAGGGACATGGGGAGGGGGACAGGCTCCCAACGCAGGTAGTGGCTGTCCTACTGGTGGTCATGACTTGAAAGGCCACTGTAAATTGCTGGACAAGAGCCGCACACCATTAAGAGCAGAGTGGTGGGAAGATATTTGTAATGTAGTGTCTGGGGTAGCATAGGAGAAAAAAACCTTGATTGCTTGAATTACAATCAGGTCTTGTCTAGAAATGACTTGAGTCCCTAAACTTGTTTATACTCACAATCTCTAATAGTAAATACATTTAATTATCACCCACTTTAGTTATATTTAGCATATTAATCAAGACTCCTATATTTTTAAATATAAGGAGCTAATGAATAGGTCTCCTACAATTAAACCTACAATAATTTATTTACAAGTTACTGAACAAAGCAAAGGTGTGTGGTCCTAATAAAATCTACCACCAAAAGGCCTGAAATACCTCTTCATGGTATTCTTTAAAAATATTTCTTTATATTTTGCCTTGACAGTTTAATTTGTATTATCCAAAAAATAATAGGTTTCTTAAACAAACAATTCTGAGTTGATGCAAACACACTTTAAAATTAGAGAAGACAATACTAAGATACCACACCATCTGAGATGCTCAAAAAATTCTATACTGAGGAGGGGAGAGGAGGGATAGTTAAAAATTGATGTTTTTCTACACATTTAATTTTATCTTTGTCTTCATATGTCCTTGGGGGAGAGGTATTATTCT